GCCAACCATCGTGATATTGCCGTACTTGCGCTTGCAAAGCTCGACATAATTGTTACAGGGCTGTGTGTTTGTAGGCTTTGCTTTCGTCGTGGTAGTCGAGGTACCATTTGCTGTGGCGGTTCCTGTGCCAGTCTCTGTCAGGTTGCTGGTAATGGTAGTGCTATCTGTGACATCTGTGGGGAAAAGGCCTGTGAGGGTGCTCGTGAGTTGGTCCGATTCGGTGTCGCTGGAGCCCTGCAGTGTGATCTTAGAGGCGTAGGAAGAATATGCGCCTGTGGGAGGACCGGTTTGTCGTGTAATTTTCTGTGTTCGTGTACCTCCAATGAAAGTGAGGTCTGAAGACGCTGATAAATCGACCGTCTGACTTGCTACTTGACTGGAAGTCAAAGCCAGAGCCGCAAGTACTGAGCCCCAGAGCTTCATGACGGAAAACTGATCCTGAAAGAATTTGTGACAGGAGAGAATATCTCTGGTAAGGCGCAGGATAAGTTGGAAGGGCGATAGGAGGGAGCTCGCTAGTTGCAACAAGCTTTACAACTGGAGCTCAAGGTCCACCTATTACAGCCGGGCCCGCGTCGATTTAAGGTGGTACAAGATCAAGGGAGCTTCTGTAGGCAAAGCAGGCCGAAGAAAAAGAAGAAACAAAACCGAGTTGTGCTCTTGATGAGGTAGTAGAACAAGATCCAGCCTAGTGCGATCTGCGACGACTCGCGCAGTCCTGTCCTTGATCCCTGCTCGAGAAACACCAGACCGACCAGTATCAAGAGAGTCCACTTTTGCGAACAACAACAGATCGACGAGAGGAGGTGGGTATGTCACGTATTGTAGGAAGAGAAACCTCAAGCACCAAGTCACTGTAGAGACCAGTGGGAGGATGTGATACGTGCGGTGGTTGGAAAACCTTCTTTTGTGCACTGCCTTGCTTGGCTTTTTAGTCAAGAGTACCTGTCCCAATCTTAGACGAGATTACGAATGAGAAGCGATGAAAAAATGAAGGACCCAAGGAAAAAGGAGAGCGACTGAATGATAGTTGCTTTGTCGCGGCTTGGCAAGAGAGCAGAAATAAAAATAAAAATACCGAACAAACTGGCTAAGGTCAGTAGTAGGTTGGTTGTTAGTGCTTTATTTGATGATGCGGCCTCACCCGCTGTGACATAATGACATGTGTCTATGAATAAACAGTTAGTCCTAACCCTCTTAGCGGTAATAACGGCAGCAATTGACAGTGTCAATTGGCCAATGTTGAGCCGCAAAAATAAACGCACAAGTCATGCAAAGTTTCTGACTGTTTCCGTAGCGCTAAGAGAGTGTCAAATACCCGAAAATCCGAGCGTACTAGGTAGTTACCAAAGCGCTTGTTGTTCACGAAATTTTGCTGGATGGTGTTGAAACGCGTCATCATGTTGGGCCGCAGCTAAGACCCAGCCGGTAACGCGGCACATCACTTCCTTTTCTTCACCTGAGGCTCGGTAGTTTGGGGCTAGAGTAGAAATGGATTGGATTGGATACCAGAAGACAAAAGCGAAAGCCAAGCACCAATAACCTATGATAGTGGCATGGCAAGTCGTAAATCCAAGAACTTCTTCTTAGGCGCATATTCGAAAGGATATCATTCTGCTTGACTTGCTACTTGATATGCACTATACTTAGGCTTTCACCAACTGTATGTATCATAATACGGGCGGCTGTCCAGGCTCTTCATTCAGCTTCAATAGACAAATAGAGATCTATTCGCTCAGCTTTCCCAGGTTCTGCTGCCCCCTTACCCACGGACCCCAGGTAGGTGTGTATAAGCCTTCCCTTTGCCGCTGCATTGTCGCGCCTAGGCTCCCCAGGGGTGCTGTGTTGCAGGGGCATTCCACCAAAAGCACATAAGCTCTCCACTGATGGAGGCCGTCTATCCCTTTTAGGTCAAGGTTTCGGAAGGGCCCACGACCCTTTTGGCGCCTCTTCGATCATGGATTGCATGGATCCATGCCGTCTGGCAAGATCCTTGGAATTGGGATTTTCCCTTCATCATGACGATTGCTCCACCGTCTCTGTGAAAGCCGTCGCTCCTTGCTCGCTCCTCCAAGAACCTTGCAGCTGGCGTTGACCATTTGGCTGGCCCACTTCGCAACGCATTTCTCTACTGCATACTCCGTACAACTTCTTCGTTATCCTGTCGCTACCTTTCTTTTGTTCTCCGGATTACGAAGTCTTTCGTAACCCTATTTGTTTCTTATGTTCTGTTTGTGGACTGTGTTGACATTCAACCGCACACCACTCCGCGATTATCCTTTCCTTTCATCTTTCTTGTTCTGTTCGTTGTTTGTTTCATCGCTGGTATCCTGCAGCACATCACGCAATTAGAAGGCATCACCATCAAACGAAAGAGTCTTTGGATAGCTCACTCCGATACCGCAGTGCCTACCTACCTAGGTACCTCACCATGGCGAACGTGCATAGGCGAAACACGGCCTTTGCTGCTAGCACGCTATACTTTCTATCAATACCCTTCTTGATTCTCGTCATAATCGGCAATACCCATATCAATTCGACATTAAACGACATATACTTCTTTAAGCTTGATGTTTCTCAAGTTATACCGATCTCGGTCGATAATTCGAGACTGCTTAATTCTGTTGCTCGGAGTTTAGGTCTGCATGATTTCTACCAGGTTGGACTATGGAACTTTTGCGAAGGGTACAACGATGAGTATGTTTCCAAGTATCGCCTGTAGCATATGATAGCTAACAACACAACTCAGGGGCGTTACATACTGCTCTAACCCTAAGCAATGGTACTGGTTCAACCCTGTCGAGATTCTTGTGAGCGAACTGCTGGCCGGAGCTCGGATTGCACTCCCTGCTGAGGCCGTCACTGTCCTCAACTTGCTCAAGATAGGCTCTAGAATCATGTATGGATGTTTCATGGCCGGCATATGTATCGACTTTGTCCTTATTCCGCTGAGCCTCCTCGTTATTCGCACCCGTTGGTGGAGTCTGGTTATAACGGTTCTTGCTTTCTTCACAGCGGTTCTTATTTCGCTCGCAGCTATCATTGCAACTGTCATAAGTGTTGCTGCTAAGGTCGCACTCACGGCGCAGGATCAACTCAACATCAAGGCAAACATTGGCATCAAGATGTTTGTCTTCATGTGGCTGGCTGCTATCTTCACCGATGTGGCATTCCTGCTACATGCTGCCATGAGTTGCTGTTGTAGACCTAATAGGGATAAGCCGCAGAGTCCCCAACCAGAGATGAGGGCAGCGCACCCAAGCCTTCGTCATCGAAGAGGGCATAGGTCATCATCACATTCGTCATGAGAAGTTATGCGGATCTAGCTTCAAATTTGAGGCCCTGCTGATGAACAAATTTGGTATGGAAAGAATACCTTTGGCCCAGAATTCCAAGATGGTCCAGAAGCTAGACCTCTTTGAAGTTCTAGGACCCAGGCAATGAAATCAAAAGCCTGCGCGATAACCAGGATTGCGCGCCTATTTAGACTGTTTGGCTCATGGCATTACACAGAGCAGGGAATAATTGCCTAAAGCATGCTCAGTTCAGGTGTATTTCAACTTGAGCACAAGGGATGCATAGTACATAGGATTTCACGGTATAGACGGGCGAGCGAGGCCAGGGAACAGGCCATTCAAAATGAGTGTGTTGGGCTGTTTCCCATGCAGATGACATTCTTCCACGGCGCTAAGGCTTAAATAATAGAATACATACTATGGAGAAAATATAGCGTTGTAATAGTCGTTTCTGGACCCATCTGATCCTTTATCATGTGAAGATTACTTGTTGGTCTCGTTGGAGTGCCTCATAGAACTGTTGACACTACTTTGAGCTCGAGGCACTCAACTTCTAGTTATCATGATAATTGTATTGCAGCACAAAAGTTGACAAACGGATGGCCATGTTTCCCGCACCCGATTATGAAATGATGATACGACCATTGCAAGAACAGGTCTTTACTTGTTTTGCGTTCTGCTAGCACAATTACTCATCCAAGAAACATCAATGGCTTCACACAAGACCAGAAGAAAGTCTACAGTGACTGTCACACCGTTGGCCAATATTTCAGTCATGATGGCCGTATCCTTGCCTTATGCAGTCTAAACAGAACTATACGACATGCCCAAAGCTCGAGCTCATCGATATCCTTGAAAGGAGCGTCGATAGCATTGACTTTAGAATACTTGCTTTTGGAGAGATATTCACAACTGTAAGATGAAACTTGTATTTTTCGCATAGAGGATACTGGGGCGATAGGCAACTATCGGAGAAGCGCTCTCGAGGCACTGCGCACAGAATAAGACTTGAAGACGTCGTAAGAACCAGTGCAAGAAGGGTCAATGAAGGGAAATGGGATGGATGCACGACCTGAGCCTATAGTTCTGTACAAAACTTGCAGACGATGACAAATTGAAACTTCAAGACAGCCAAGAGCTTATCATGCGCAAGATGATGCGTTGCGATCACTACTGTTACCCCAGTGAAGGTATATAGGGCGACAAGATACATAAGAATATTGAAGAAACGACATTCGAGGCCAATGGGAGAATTGGCAAACCAGAAGCGGTATCATAGAGAAGACATGGTAGTTACTTGTCCTACACTCTATGATGGGATCCAGGATACGGAGAAATAAGCATGAATAATAGTGACAAATGGTAAATTGAGCTCAAGACACGTCCTTCAAAGTTGAGAATTCGAACGAAAGGAGGAAGAGATAATCAGGGGCAGAAGACGGAATCCGGGGGTAGGAAACCCCCATCAACTGGTGTTTAACCACGGCCAGTCATCATTTGATTGACTATCTAATGAATACAAAGTAATACGCCGCGCCTTCATCTACCATAACCCTTGCGAGCAGCATTGTCGCCAACTATCAATGAATATGTCGCGTCCAGTGATAAGACAGTGAACTATGTATGGCTAGTTTCAGAATAATAAGCTCATACTACTGACCATGGGTATGGCCGTGTGAACACGCCTGTTTCTGAGCGATCGACTTAGGCAGTTGGTGTGATGCCTGTCATAAGGTCCTCATCTTCTATTAGAGAATCGAAGCCCACTCCAGGATCTGCGGGGTCTTTATCTGCCCGCTTCTGTTCCCTAACAGCGTGTTTCACGTACTCCTTGCTATTACCCAACCGTTCGTTGGCTGCCTTGTACTGGTTTCCAAGACTTTCAATATTATGGTAACGCTGGGCAATCTGCTGGGCAAACTTTGCCTCTGTCATCGCCTCATTGTCGTCGTGGAAGTGCAGATAGAGTTCACCGCCATTGTTGCCCGGCTGTAGCTCGCCTTTTAACAGACCGGAATCAATCATATCTTGAACTAAGCATGTGGTGGCATCGTCGTCTGCGAGGAATTCCCCTGTCTCGGCACTGAGTGTCGAGAGACGCACTTGAGAAATGGACACCCGTACATATATGTCGCAGAGGTTGATGATTTGCCACTTTGGGTACGCCGCCACTACCTCGGAAATCAACGATGAGGTGCCGTCTTCTTCCCAAACCTGTTGGTTGGCCTCAATGTCTGCCTTGAGCTGCGCTGCATTCGTTGTTGTGAACCAAGTGGTAATACTCTTGTACGGCGTACTTAGTGTGGAGAAGGTATTCTTGGATATCGTCGCAGTGTATGATGGAATACTTGGCTCTTTCCCATCCTTGAGTAGCCCGACCAGCAACCATCGCTTATACGCCTCATCCATGACCTTACTGACGCCTTTGTCTTTTGCTGGGTGTGTAATGACGCGCTCGAGAGCCCGGTAGGCTTTGGTCCAGTTTCGTCGTGACATGTAGCATTGCGCCGCAAGGTGATTATACTCCAGGACGGCAGAGCTCTTCACATCCCCAGTAAGACCTGTGTCAACTGAAATGAAGGAAGCGGGATGCAGGCTACTATCACATAAGAGTTTGGCGTCCTTCTGGCCCGCCATACCAGGGTAGAACGTAAGATCGCAATCGAGAACCTTGAGAGCGGGCTCAATCCAGGATGTTGAATAGGCAATCTTGGCCAGTGTAAGATGGGTAGATGTGAACATGCTTCCTGTGGGATCGAGTCGCAGTATAGCAGCAGCCAAAGCCTCTACAGTAACCCTTGTCTAAGTGCAGGAAAGTTAGCGCCTTGCTATGTCATGGAGGGGTGGCGCGTACCGTAAATAGCGTGCCTGCTGCGACGTATTCAAGAAGCTTTCGGAATTCCGAGCCCACATATCGTATCTGGAGAGGGTTGAAGTTGAGAAGGAATCGGAGGATCTCGTCCAAGAGTGTGCTTCGTTCGCCACCATGTGCGGGGTTCGATGTTTGTAGTGAGAGAAGGAGGATGGCTTGAAATGTGATAGAGTCGATCGAGGGGTCAATGTTCTGGGAGTGTTAGCTAGAATTAACAAATATACTGTGAGATTTACTTGTAGGATTTGGCTAGCATTGGTACTGATGACCTCCCGCTGGTTCGCCAACAGCGACGTCAAAGCTGCGACATGATCCCGAATAGCAGCATCATACTTCTTGACGGAATGAGCGGCGGCCTGAGTTGGCGTGAAGGCAGCTAGAACGGCCGCAACGGTGTCCATCATCAGCTGGGCTCTGAATACTCAGGCTGATTCTCAGTGTAGTGGCTGGTTATGTGAAGTGTGGAGTTTGAATTGATGAAACTGTTACACTGATCATCTCCCTATTATGCTCGTCAAAAACTCAGAGTTATGACGAAGAACTTTGTATTGTAAGGCCTCGGTCTGTATTGGGGGACGAAGAATCAGATGATATGAAGTTTGTTGTTGCTCTCCAAGCTCACAGGCAGGCAACACTCATGAGCACAGCTCTCGCATTGGAGGGGTGGTGACGTTGTAGGTCCGGGAATTAGCCGACTGAGCTTATCGTCTAGCGGATCTCGATAAGAAACTGCCCCACTACCACCAAAGGTTAACTCTAGACTAGTAAGTGATGGGTTGGGGATAGCTTCATTTATTTGCCTTACAGTCTGTTCTTCACAATTTTGTTTGCCAGGCAAGAATGAACTGACGGAACTTTTACAGGAATGGATTTTGGTCTAGAAGTCGCTTGGTTCTCTACTACATGCTGTTCTAGCCCACTTGCGCAAACTCCTGTGCTAGACCTGACATCGCACAAGGACTAGTATAGCATGGCAAGGTACAATTTTGACATAAGCGGGACAATAGATACAAATCTAACTTATGTCTCACCTAAATTCTGCCTGAGACCTGACTCGCATGGCCAGCTCACTAAAGCCTATGTGACCCCATCGGAGTGATTTCTCAAGAAGAATGGTTGGTTAATGACAAAAGAACTCAGAGATCATTCAGCTATCTACGAAGCAAGCCTCAACGTAGCGTCTCAGAGATCGCCTTTCAAAGATTATACTAAAGATTGGGTTCGTATCTAATATGAAATGATCAAACAGAAAAGAGAGTAATATCTAAGTTGCTGAACAACACATCGATCGAACAGCCTTAGGGACCGAGCTTCAACAAATTTCCAGCAGGTACATCAAAACAGAGGATTCATTCCCATTGCTTGTCTTTCTAATACATCGACTTTTCAAAAGCCTAGTCGTTGTATTCCTTTTTCTTTGCTCTCGTATATGTAGCTTGTTTGCCCAACACACAATCACTATCGAATATAACGGCCAGCTGAGACCGAAGAGCGGCGAGGCGAAGATCCGTTCCAGTTCTGGACTGCTGGCGAAGCCATGAACCATTCAGTCTCTGACCCTGTCAGTGAGCGCTTCTCAGGTGCCGGAGCAGCAAGTAGTCCCTCGCAAGTCTGAGGGATGCGATTTTTCTTGCTTGATTTCTGATTTCTCTCCGGGCCAATGGGAGCCAGGACTGTCGCGGTCTGAGGGACATCCTCATTTCCATCACCTCGCCACCCAGACTGAAGGATGGCTTGGTTGCTACTGGCAGGCAGGTCTCGATTGCGGTGCTTCTGAAGCTCTTCCTGGTGATCTCGCCACCACTTGGGGAACCCATGAAACAAGCCCAGAGATTGCTGCGTAGCCTTGTCGAAAGGCATCTCGTGTTTGTATTTGCAGCCCTGCTGAGTAAAGGCGCAGGTGCCGTCGTGGATCCATTTGTCACAATAGATCTTGGTTCTGCGTTGCTGAGTAGGTGATGTTGCAACAATACGATCAATTCTGGTCTATAAAATGACGTTAGCCTTGCTCCAGGAAAAGAGAAAAAGCACAAGGGAGGTAGCGAAATACTCCCAGAGGCAGATTACCTGGAGGATATCAGATGCTGGGCCAGTTGGAGCCTATACACTCAGCATCGTTTTACTGTGTGCGGCGTATTCAATCCACGTACCTTAAATGTGACAGGCTGATTCATCCCAGGAACTCCTTGTGGTGGCTTCATGTGCAAGTCCGGAAGCAGTACCATTCCTTGGGCGCTTGTCTGGGTAGCAGGCAGCTCGATGAGGGTTGGAACCATGTCTGCCGGAATCAGTCTTGTGTACAGCCCGTCATGTCGCTTTACACAGTACGCATAGCCGTTGAGGCAATCAGAGATGCTCACAGGCCCGCCGTCGTTGTTGGAAGGAGAGGGATGAGTTGGAGAACTCATAAGCGAGTGCTTAGTACCGGGGACAGCGCTGTTCATGGGGTTTGCAGATGGTTGAGAACCTCTCCAGTTGCCAGATGTCATGCCTCGTGGAGCAGAAAGCTGGGAGACTTGGGTGTTCTGCTGCCAGCCTCCATAAGACACTTGAACAGGATAACCGTTACCGCCAACCACATGGAAGTGATTGTTGGAGGACGGTTGAGAAAGATCCATAGAACTTGGCCGATTCATAATGTTGAGAGCTGAGATGGTGTTGCGATGAAGTTTAAGCCCAGCGATAAACACGAGATCTTTTGACAATGTATTGAAGAGAAGGGTTGTTTCTGATTTGGTGAGAAGCCGAAGGAGGCTAGTTCTTCACCTAGGATGATCGAAGTTAGGAGTGGTATTGGTAGAGACAATCTTTTCCTAGACGATTTAATAAGTGTAGCATCCGATGACTATAAGAAGTCTTGGTCCCAGGAGCATCCACAGACGGCCTATCAAACGGCTAGGAACTGGGACACGGGTAACGGAAGACGGGTTATAACTTCGAGACATGCGCTGGCAAACAGCAAACGGAAGACAGCGTCTATGTTTAACAATACTGTGTGGAAGTCTACCAGGGTGGCTCGAGGACACGGTATAGGCAAGAGGATGGGAACAAGTGCTTAATTCTAGGTGGACGGTCCAAGAGGCTTGACCTTATCTTATACTTGAGAATACGGTCATCAAGCACCATGGCATGTTTGCTTGACGTTGAGGCGTACTCTACAATACACATGCTACGGCTGCGGTTACCTGCAGCGACAGTTTGCCGGCACTGACCTTCAAACACTTGACCTAAAAGATCAGCAAGGCTCATGTGTGCATTGATGAAAGTTTTCATTCAAAAGTCCTTCGTCTGTGCTATGCTGCCTATCATCTTGCCTAGCTATACTGAGGACGTTGGCCGTCTCGCCAGCCTCCAAGGTTGCTTGCTTGTCAGCTGGCCGTCCTCCTTCACTGGGTACCCAGCTCAGCGTGCATGATGCCGCCTGGCATGCAAACAAGCATAAATCAAAATGTCTAGCAAAGCAAAGGGCTTGTTGTTCACCTTTAATTCACACCAAAGGTGGGGGAATTATTGTATCAGCGCGGCTGCTTGCGCTGAGGAACCACGTTTTCTTTATGTCCAAAGTAACATCATTTGTGCTGCGTTCCGCTTTTACCGGTAAGCGACCTTAGACGGTTTAGTAGAACCGCCTTGTATTGTTTCCTGACCTCAGTCTCAGGTTCCGAACGTTGGACCCAATCAAGGGCTACTCTTACTTCGGCTTCTGAGCGGAGGCGAATGTTTCTGTAATCAACTATGTGGCTATTAGGAGCATGAGGTTGGGTGGGAATCACCCGCTCAGGTGGTACAGGGTCTGTAGATTTGCTCTCGTAGAGGTAATTACCCTTGATATATCGGGTGAAGTCAATGGGCATTCCGGTATTTACTGGTCCACTGCCTTGACGGTAGGAGTTTTGCATGGGGTAGCTGGGGGTCGCTGTGCCATTGTCTTGGATACTCCCTTGCTGCTTGGGGTTTTGGGTGTTCCCGATTTGCCACGTTGGCTGCTGCTTTTGCTGTTTGGTGTGGTTGTTTGGTGTTTCTTGCTGGCTCTTGCGACTGGCTTTTTGCTGTTCGCCAATGACTTGCTGCGGTCTGGCGTTACGGGCGTTCGATGCTTGGAGGGTTTGGAGGTCTGCTTCGGTGTCTGTGTTGCAGTCTTGTTAATTTTACCTTTGCGGCTTGAATCTTTCACTGGTGTCGTGGACGGGGTTCTTTGTTTAACAGATGGGATCTTTTGGCGTTTACCTTTTGCCAGTGACGGATCTTCCTCCTCAGACTCTTCTCCAGAGTCACCACCAGCAAAGTCATCAGAGGAGTCTGACGGCTCAGCTTCGGCATCGCCAGGGATAGGGTTATCTAGGACGTTCGTCTTGTAGTTGATAGCCTGTGAGGTGGTCAGCTGTTGATATCTAGAACTTTACAAACCAATAGCCTACCAGTCGACGTCGACCACCGCGACCCAGAACCTCCCGATTTACTTCAGCTTGACGCTGTGCTTCTGCCTCACGTTGAGCCAGAATACGATCCCAGACGCTTGAGTTGATAGCTTCTGGCTCGGCCATCTCTTCGGTAGCAAGTCCAGCGTCGAAGCCGGACTTATCGTTGGACCACACCTTGGTGTAAGAGAACGATGCGCCATCATCAGGTTTGCTTTCTGTGTCGTCTGTTCGATCTAGAAGTGCATCCACAGCAGCAGAATCATAGTGGATAGACTTCTTTTCATAGTCATCGTTAAACAAGGCTTGGGCGCCGTGTTTCAATATTGACTCTAGATCATCACCGGCAAGTTCGTCGTCGTCCATGCTTTCGATCAGAGCATGATCCAAGGCCATCTTCTTCTTACCGATTTGCATAATTCTTTCTTCGACCGAGTCTACAGTCATAAGTTGGAAGCAAAGGACCTTCTTTTTCTGTCCAATACGGTGAGCACGGGACAATGCCTGGATATCCTGGTGTGGGTTGAAATCAGGATCGAGGATGATGACTGTATCTGCAGTAGCAAGATTTATGCCAACACCACCGGCTCGTGTCGAAAGCAGAAACGCAAAGATAGGCGAGTCAGGGGCGTTGAAAGCATCAATGCGGCGTTGTTTTTCCAGACTACTGATACTGCCATCGAGGCGGCGAAAATCGTAGCCTAGGCCACTGAGGAAATCCTCAATGATATTTAGTTGTTGTAAAAACTGGCTGAAGATCAACACGCGATGTCCTCTTTCCTGGAGTTTGGGAAGCATGACTCGGAGAAGTAGGAGCTTGGCCGATGCCTCGATCAGGTTGCGTTGAATTACTGTTTGATCATGGTGACGCTCTTCAATAGCTTCGGAGTACATGAAAGGGTGACAGAGGCATTTCCGCAGCTGCATTAAAATATTGTTGAGAGATCCACGTTCCTTCTTGTTCATCTTGGTGTTGGAGAACATGGCCTTGATGAGCTCTGGATTTTTGGCCATGATACTCTTTGAAAGCTTCTCTTGAATCACAGTCATCGTGACCGGCAGAATGATTTGTGTCATGGGAGGCAAAAATTTGAGAACACCTGCTTTGGTTCGGCGGAGGAAGTATGGTCGAATCTTGTTGTGCAACTTGGGTAGCGTCTCCTTATCAAGAACCGCATACTCTGCGTCCAGTTCTTCGGCATTCTGCTTCTCATCAATGAACTGTAAAAGATTGAACAGCTCCCTCTTGTTGTTCTGGAGTGGTGTGCCAGTAAGTAGAAGTCGAAACGGAATTCGCATTGAGCGAAGGGCGCCATACAAAATGTTCTGGTCGTTCTTCAGGCGCTGGCCCTCGTCAACCACAAGCCCTGCCCAGTTGATAGACTTGAAGAGAGCCTTTGTCGCGGGGTCCTGCGCTGAATCATAGGACATGATCACAACGTGTGCCTTCATGTCAGTAGATCCGTTGGGGAACAGCTCGTACTTGTAAGCAAGTGCCTGTGGTTCTCTCCCGCCATGATAAGCGACCACTCGGAGCTCTGGCACCCATTGCTTGAACTCACGTCGCCAATTCGGACATGTAGCATTTGGAACAACGACAAGAAAAGGCCAGCACTATTGTCATGTCAGTATAATTGCCATCGGCTTCTTAGATGCTGGTGATTTACCTTAGGGCTGTCTTGGACTAATGAAGTCACAAGGCCTACGACTTGGACCGTCTTTCCTAAGCCCATCTCATCTGCGAGAACCACACTGCGACCTGAGTGGTAGTTCCCCAACAACCAATTAACTCCTTCAATCTGGTATCCCATGAGCTTTCCACGTTTGAGGCCGGCAGGTTGCTCTTCCAACTCCTCGAACGGCTCGGCTTTGTAAGCCTTGACTCGTTCTCTGATCTTGTGCTGAGATTCACTCTTGAAGTGTTTGCCCTCAATATACTCGTAGTAAGCCTCCACAAAGGAGGCATAGATATCGCATGCATCCTCTGATGGCGGCGTATCCCACACAACATCGTCGTAGCCAAGACCTTGAAACTTGACAAAGATTTTGCTGACGTTGGCCAAGTTCTCTATTTCGTCTTGTTTTGTCTTTGGTCTTGGGGCCGATGGGTCCAATCTGGCGTTGAGAACTATATCCGGTATAAGAAACTCATCTGGAATAGCCTCTCGCTCGCTGAGTTTCATTAAACCCTGCTCGAGGTCTCTTTTGCCGAAGGAAGTGCGCATCGTGGGCGCTGCTACACCGTACACCCACGCGCCCGGCTTCCAGTCACAGTGAGCATAAGATCGACTTTCCCACTTGATCAGATACTCCTTGTCGTCCTCTCGAACCTCAGTATACATTGGTCGAGGATCTTGCTTGGCAAGCTCTGTTGATACCGGACGCCATGCCACCAGCCGATGAATCTTGTGCCTGGCATTTGCACACTCTTTGCATTGCCAGTCGATGGAATGGTCTTTCAGGCGCTCGGACTTAAGATCTGTTCCGATTGTTCCGCCTCTAGCGCCCGGAAGATGATCAACGTGCCAGCCCCGACGACACAAAGTACATCGGAAGAGGACCGCATCAGCGTTGTTAAGAAGGTCCGGAGGAACCTGAGTGACTGGGTCAACGCCACCGTTCTGTTCACGAAGCTTCTCCTCCTGCCGAGATGTCTTCTTTTCAGAAAAGGCAGCGCAGCTGCGGCCTGGAGACTTGCATGCCTGACACATGCTATACCTGGGAGCACCATCATCCTTCTTATTTAGGACGCCAATGCAGAACCTGCACTGCATGACGAAGTCATCCTGACCGACCTTGGTAACCATATGCTCGCGAGCACTGCGGTATCCCAGGCAATTCTTGTGGTAAGACAATGTGCAGCCCTGACAGTGAATCATTTGGCCCCGTTGTCGTGAGCCTCCGCAGGTGTGGCAGGTATCCATGTGCATCGAAGCAAACTCTGAGTCGGCAGGAAGAGGTTGAAAAACCTCTCTGATTGAGATAATCTTCGGAGCGCCTGGGGCCCTGTCATCGGCAATATAGAAGGAATCCTCATCCATTTGGGCATCATCTCGCATGTTCAGGGTGTTCCTTGTGGCTCTGGAGGAACGTCGAGGTGCTTCAAACTCAATATCTGAGTCAGGGGACTTCTGGCGCAATTGAGACCGAGCCTTTTGTCGCATACTCGCAGTGCTAAGACGTTTTGACTTCTGTCGCGACCTAGTAGGACGACCTTTCCTGGGTGCAAGATCGGAGACAACGATAGGCATGAAATCATCATCTTCCTCGCCTGACGAAACAAGGGGGGCATCTCCGAGCAGTTCATCCTGGTCTTGACTATTGATGCCGTTCTTAAAGGACATACGAGTCAGTTGTCTTGGATGTCGAGTTCTCAACGATCTGGTGGCCCCTAAAGGCTCTGGCTGTAGATCGTCCAGGTCGTCTTCGTCTACCACCGGAGCAGGACTACGGGAAAGTTGCTTGGTGTTCTCTCTAGAGCGAAGGCATCGGGATACGCTTCGAGACGAACGCTTTCTCTGGACGGGCTCTTCGTCATCATCATCCTCCACCTCCTCATCAATGTCCATACGGTCGGAAACAGCAGACTCCTGTCCAGAGTCCCACTCATCGTCCTGCATGTACTTTCGCTTGCGGGCAGACATGTCATCAAGTTCGTGAGGCCATAGGCCTTGGCTGAATCGGGCCAATGCAGCTCTTCCGTTCTCAAGGTTAACGAGTTCAGCTGTAGATATCTTGAGATAAAATTAGTACCATGCGGTGGAAATGAAACAGAAGATTTTGAGAGTGCGTGCAAGTGTGTTGTGGGCAAAGAAACAAAATGTAAAAAAAGCCGTGATGAAGGAGGAGATGCAGCTGTGGGGGCACAATAAAGAAGAATAGGTTTGCGAGGTAGGCAGTGAATAAGGCACATTATAAACAAGAGCTCGCATATTATATTTGCGACCCCAGCTTTGAAGCTGCAGGCTAATAGCTTGAGCGGTCTTCAGGCATATAGATAATAGCGTTTCTAGGCCATGCAGGAAGAGCAGCTTGGCATCTCCTTATGAATTAATGAAAGAATGCCCACCTACCAACTCTTGTCGCCCATCTGTAAACTCAACACGATACTTGATCATGCCACGAGTTGGCGGGAGCTCCCCAGATATGAACTCGACGATATTGCTATGAACGGGCGAGTGCTCCTTACGCTTCTCAATAGGCATTTCCGGTATCGCAACCTCAAACCTGTAGTTAGGCTGAGAAAGTCTGGAGATGCTTGATCCATCTTCTTCGATTTGGTGAATGTCTTGATCCTTATCCTCGCCTCGAGCATTCATATTCCCACGTGCCGTTGGCTGCCGTTCCGTATTCATCTCGGTGTGTGCAGGCAGAGAGCCATTGTTTCCATTGAGGTCCGCCAGAAGCCACTCTAGCGAGCGCTCAATAGCGTTATCATCTTGGTCAATAAGGCCCTGGAGGGGCTCGTAGGGAGAGTTCTCAGTGTCCATCTGGCGGCTGCCGGGCGCGTCGCATTAATCGCAAAGGAGATATTCGTAAATCGGTCGAGACCTGGCGGGGTGGGGTGAATGACCCTTGGGGATACGGTGCCGTTCGTCAGAATCACTAGATATATAAATGGTTTAGTTGAGTTTGACAAGCTGGATCGTAACTTGGTAAGTTTGGCGGCATGGCTGAAGCTTCATGACAGAGAATTTGGTTGCTGCCCTGAGTTGGTCAAGGTTAAATTCATTGGTAACTATCGGGAAACGCGACGATCGCATTCAAACGCGTTAAAGTTATGGCCCAATTAACACTCCCTGGGCCAGGGATTGCAATGGCCCCGCCATAATTAATGCGCTCCCATCGAGTCTCACCGCCCAGCTGAACCAGCTACCTAAGAAGCCCAGTCAATTAACTAGCATGAGAGGGCAGGAAAATAATTTAGCGGGGCCGCTGATAATTATTGAAACTTCCATCTCAGTGTTAACTAGAAGGGATTTTTGAACAAATCGGACTACAACCTGCAATCCGGCAGGCAAGACAACCACATCTAAGAAAAAGGCAATTTATTGTATAGCGATATATAGACACGTTATTCAATGCTTGCCCCTACACAACTGAGGGTTGTTGCTCTAAACCACCCATTGGCAAGGCTTCATCCCGCTACCAGGAGTTTCGCCCCCATCTTTGTTCGAGCAAAAGGTCTCTCAGCCATCATCCGGGGATCGATCAGATCTGAACGAATTCAAAACGGCCCAGACAGCTTCGACACCCGCAATGCCTATAATGATACTGGTCGACGAAAAGCAGGAGGCGAGCGCCTCACTCGTCCTAAAGAGTCCCCCCACCGACCCCGAGACGATTTTTTCGCAAAATTCAGTGCAAGAGCCGTTGACTCCGGTGGCACACGAAATTGGCGTCAGGAACAGAAGCTGAAAAAGAAATTAAGGAAGAAGGAGGAGGAAAAGAAGGAGCGAGAAGACAGAGAAGAATTAGGCATAGGCCGCCGTACCAGGAGGAGACGATTCGCCGATCCTGAAAACGAATTCGGAAATCGCAGCTTCGTACACCGAATGAAGTATGGCGACCTCAAGGAGGTGGCCGACAATTTGAATGTAAAGCAGCCTGTTCGACCGCGACCATTCCCTGAAGCTCAAAAGGAGCGCACGTTTGGTTCCAGAAATGGGGATAATGGTGTTGCACGACACGAACGACGAGAGCCATCAAATGAGAAGTTCGAAAAGTTAAATCAGCAATTCAATCGCTCAATACGACGCCCTGAAGATCCGCAACAAAGTTTTGGCCGGTTCGGCCATCAAGGTCGTCAGTCAAATATCTCTGGTAGATCGTCCAACGATGAATTTAACGGAACACAGCGGAGATTCGATCGTTCACAGCCTAGCGACTTTCGTCATGACAACGCTCGAGAAGACCGACAGAATGACCAAGGACATAGTTCTGTCGATGTTAAGCGCGGAAAGAAGAAGGAGATGATGGCCATGACCCTCGAGTACACTACCGCTGCTTCACAGTTCCTATACGGTCGATCAGTTGTCAAAGCAGCACTGGGGCAGAATCGACGAAAGTTGTATAATCTCTACATCCATGCCAATGAGAACCGAAAGTATAACACGGATACTGTTACCTTGACGCGAATGGCGAAGAAACTCAACGTACCCATCAAAATCGTGCCTCCTGAAGAGCAACGAATCATGGATAAGATGAGCATGGGGCGACCTCACAATGGCTTCGTGCTTGAAGCCTCCCCTCTACCCCAGATCCCTATCAAATCTCTTGGCAAGTTAGAGGAAAGTCCTGGTCGCCTGGGCTTTCACGTGGACCTTGATCACCAAACCAAGGAAGAGGCAACGATCAATGGCACCGACACATTTATTCGTCGGTCCAATGATGTAATGCCCAAGCCTTTTGTCTTGCTGCTCAATGAGATTCTCGACCCGGGAAACTTAGGCGGTATCATCCGCACTGCGAGCTATCTCGGTGTTGACGCCGTCGGTATCACGAACCGGGGATCCTCCACCCTCACACCTGTTGTTCTCAAGTCTGCTGCTGGTGCAGTGGAGGAGGTTTCATTATTCGCGGTGGACGACCCTGTGAGGTTCATCCAAGACTCCCAGAAAGCTGGCTGGAAATCATACGCTGCGGTGGCGCCGCCTGATCGAAAGCTTATTCGAAAGCATGGGAGCAAGTTCGTGTCAACAGATACGATTGAGGCACAAAACCCACTAAACGAACATCCGTGTCTACTAATTCTTGGTAATGAGGGCTATGGACTTTCGAAATCTATCAAGGTTGCTGCCGACTATGAGCTATCAGTACCTCGGTTTGTTCATGGAAGCTGTGTGGATAGTCTGAACGTCAGTGTTGCGGCAGGCCTCTTGTGTCATTCCTTCGTTAAGGAACCTGTGACTGTTGCACCAGAGCCAGTTGAGCCCACGACCAGACTGGCTGATTCGGAGGCCAGTTCTGACGATACAGAGAGCAAGACGATAGCAACGAAGACTGGGGCGAAGCTTATTGAAACTGGAAGTGATAATTCTTCTGAAGAAAAGACTACTGGTGAGGAATATGAGGTTGATGCTGCTACGGAGGCAGACCAAAAACAGCCTGACGATCAAACGCTGGATAAACCTGACGATTTGGTGTTCTAAGAGCATTGGACTAGGCCTGGGTGCCGCTATTGTAATAACTTAGATATGTATAACACGATGGTTGGGTGGCGCTTGGGTGTTAGGCATTGGGAGCATAGAAAATCATGTACAATAACGATGTATACTAGACGAAACACATGTGGAAACAATCTAACTTATTCAAAGTACATACTGGGTAAGCAATTATGGAGAACTTACTGGATCGCTGTCGTCGCTGGAGCACAGAGTACGTCTCATGAGGCTAGCTTGTGAGACCCTGCACGACGTTGTGCGCCACGCCGCCCGCCATCATGACTACTCCTTGGCCATACAGACGACTCTCTTACAACTCTCAGTCTGATACATATAACTTTTAGCGCTACGGACTACGGAGTATTCGTAAGATTGATGTCCTCACTGTAACTTAACCGAGTGCTGGAGCACGCATTTGGACCAGTCTACCTACCTAGGTAGCGATAGAGCCAGCTTGTGGCCCCATCATATCTTCCACCTAACCGTCGCCCAGCCACCCAATTAATTATTTACAAGCTACCTAAAAACGCTGAGTTGTCGCTGTCATTCCCCATCGGCAGCATCATGCTCTGTCTCGTCCAACGTGTACCTTATAACCTGAACAATAGCCCAGTGGCATTTCCGGGCAATCTTTAACCTGTGTCTGGCAACGGCATTTGGCTCGTACTGTGTGGCGGTGTAGGCAAGAATTCATACCACACATCACACATTTATCAGTTCACCGCTGTCGCTTGAAATTCTATGAGCCCAACGAGAGTTCAACGCAAAACAAGTTGAGCCTGAGCTTTCCACAATCTACTCAGTGTCCGGCAATGCGATCCATATCGGCTCTTCTGTTGTGTCTCGCTACATTACTTCCTCCTCAGGCCCTCGCTGAGTCGGGTTCACCAATAGCTATCCGGAAGGTTGCCCCTGGTTCGCACGACAAGCTCCTTAGGGAGCATCTCGCTTTCGCACCACTACATGGTCTTACTCCGCGCGAAGCTGCCGCTGCTGCCATATCATTTCTTGACGAGCAAGATGACAAACTTCTAAGCCTCAATGGCACAGAGCGCTTCTACCGTCCAGCGTTTGCTCCTCACAGTGAAGAGTCCCACGAGAGCCTGCTGCGCCGAGCCGCAGAGGCACTGGCGTTGCTACAGAGGAGGTCGTCTTGTCCTAAGGGGATGAACAGCTGCTCTGACATTGATTCCGAAGTCAAATGCTGCCAAGAGGGAACCTATTGTGTGAATGTTGGCGATACTGTGGCGGGAGGCATCGCCTGCTGCCCTGACGGTGCGTCTTGTGGTGGAGGTGTTGGAGCGTGCCCTGATGGAGCTACGAGTTGCTCTGCAGAACTTGGCGGAGGATGCTGCATTCCAGGATATGTTTGCCAAGGATTGGGCTGTGAGTGAATACTCGCAATGCTTCGCAGACCAATGTTGACTTTAATCAGGCGTCCCAAGTGCTGTTGCTACACAGACGAGAACCGCAACTCAAGATCAAACGACAGTCCGCACAACTTCCCAAGAAACAACTTCAGAGGACTCCACAGTCGAACCTACTACCAAGACGGAAACAGAGGTTGAGACCACGGGAGAACCTACGACGACTTCCGAAGCTGGAACCACAACCGAGTCCGAAACTGAAATTGAGTCTGGGACAGAAGATAGCTCTGTGACCGCGACTCCTACAGCTATAGGCTCGGCCACTGGAATCGCTCCATATCGCCCAACTGGCACCTCGGTAACATCAAGCGACGATGGAGAGATCCAAACAGGCTGTCCCACGGGCTTCTACGGCTGTCTCGCCACTCACGGCGGCGGGTGTTGTCGAACAGGCCGAAACTGTGATGTTCATGATTGCCCTGCTCCTTCGACAACCATCGTCTCAAACGGCGCGACTGTGGTCGTCCTTGCAACCGATGCTCCACCTGCCCCAGGACCCTCATCAACTTGCGCAGATGGCTGGTTCCTTTGTGGTCGAGATGCCGGCCCAGTAGCTGGATGCTGTCCAGACGGATATGATTGCGGCACAGCGAGTTGCTTCACAGCACAGGCCAGTGAAACCGGCCGTGTACAGAAGGAATTTCCCAAGGCCGATTCAGCTGCCTACGAGAATCCCGCTATCACAGTGGTGATGATGGTGGTGCTGTGTGTTGCGCTTGTATGAGGGTGTAGACTTACTATCATGATTTAATGTCGGATGGCTTCTGGGTTTAACGAAAAAGAATTTGCTCGATTCGATCGCACATAGACTATCTAGAAAATGAAATATTAGATAAACTTGCTATAATCACATCAATCCTTATTTTACAGCTTGTGAAGATGCTCGGACTTTTTGTATTTTTGTGAACTATTTTAAGGCACGTAGCCTTTCTTTACAACTCGCTAACTCTTCCTTGTCATATCTATCCAGTGTCATGCGTTTACTCGGGCATGTGGGAAAAGGGTTTAGCAAGGTGCTCCTGGCAGAAGGGCAGCTTGCTGACGGTCCAGATCTCGGTGTCCTGCGGTCAATGTTAGTTACCAGTAGCATCGACATGGGCGATTTATACTCACAGGCTTCAGGTTCTTCTTGATCTCAGTGTCGAGAGTACCGGCCTTGAGCGCAATGATCTCAGGAGCAGCGTCGGGGTCGTGGGCGATGGGAGAGCCGCACTCGGGGCAGAAGAGACGGTGGACAATGTTGCCTGAAGAGCCCTTACTGCCAGAGTAGGTCTTGACGGGGCCGCTGATTGTGAGCTTGTCCTTCTTGACGACAGCCACGAGAGCTAAAGTAATAGATGTCAGCCTGACCTATTCAAGCACCGTTGGCCTGTGGAGCTGGAACGTACAGTAAGTAGAACCACTCTGGCGCTGGCAATCGTCACAGTGATCGTAGCCAACCAGAAGAGGCTCGTCGTCGACCTTGTAGGTGACGGCTTTGCAAAGGCAGTGTCCAGAGAGAGGCATTGTGATTGTTCAAGAGTGTGTTGATAGGATGTTATACGAAGTCGAGGATTGATGTCTGAACTAAAAACTAACGTCTAGAACGGGGAACAGAGAGCTTTTAAAATCTCTAGAGAAGCTCTCGAAAGCTCCATGAGGGGCCATAGCGGGGTAAAGGGAAATCCCGAGCTCTTGTCAGTGATGGGGAGTGTTGGGAGTAACGGTACAGTATGATGAACGAGGACCGGGAATTTGGTGGTGGGGCAGTGATTGGATGACGTTGAGAATGATCTTCAGGTTAACGAAGGATGTGTTGTCGAACTAGGAACGACGGGCGTAGACTGGAGCTGCATGCTTCGACTATTTGTGTACAGCTTTGTGTTGGTAACAAGGCTTGACATGAGCGCTAGCCTATTAAGAGGTGTTGCATCCTTCGTCTGACACTCCCAAATACTCAAATTCTGTCCAAACCATCGTTCAATTCCAGATCCTTAGGTCGTTGGTATACCGTTACCGTTGCGCAGCCATATCCTATTGGCGAGTCCCATCGTCAGCCTTAGTTCATCGGGTCCCCCCTGGCACTCTTACCAAGTGCTGTGTGACGTTGACAGAGATATTTGTCATTCTTCAGGGAGTAGTCTCAATGGAGACAAAGCATGAAGCGGGGCTTCATGCGTGTAGTATTTGGAATTGAGACAATTTGAAATACCCATACCCAACACATGCAGGGGTAAGCTATGGTTATCGTATAGTCGGTGTTGCAATGACATTCTGGCAGTAGACCACTGTCTCTCAAGCAACTCCTAGAGCTTTGAGAAGCTCTTGATTTCAAATTCGAGACAGCAAGCTCACATCAGTGAGAGCTTGATCGGAACGATGATAAGATCCGCGGGGTAGGTGGAGACCCTAACGCCGGGCAGCTTTATGGTTCGTGGTGCTGGTTGGTCAGCGAATGGTCTTAACTCGTCGTGGGTTTATAGCATGTTCTGAAATCGTCTCTCAATCGTATCAATATTGGTTGACCCGGACGTATGGTGTAAGCAGGATGTTGACCCGCGAATAATCGATGACTTTTTGACCCGAATTTCCTATTCTTGGACTCATCAATAAGGGATGGGTGCTTCCCGTACTTTTGTCCATGAAATTATAAGGATCATGAGAAGCTCATGATGGTCTGCGTGATGAGCAATGCTAGCACCCATGAGACACCCACTCTTCCTATGAGCTCCATTATGCCAAGTAGGCTGACACTACTCATAGCAATGCGATCAGCCACAAAGAGGCGGATCACAGACCTCAAATACGCGTTTTTGAGTTCTGCATCTCCTTGTTCAAGAACAAAGGCGTCCATTGATGAAATTCGAAACTCCCGGATATCGACGCCCTTCACTGAGGACGAATGTCCATTTGTAGATGTCAATGGTCTCTCAATCTTATCAGGCCGGCGTCTGAGGTTTTTGATGAGCTGGAAGTGCATATAATCAAGCAGATTGGAAGCATGAATAGGTGGAGAACCCTTCTTCAAAAAAAACCTTTGTCAGCTGCACCGGCTTGTCAGTCCAAAGGGTACAGCTTTCAGCCACCTCGCAGAAGATGGCCTCAGAATCATGCGCATAGTAAACGAAGCGTGAATAGAAAATCGGCATCAACACTTTGATCTTGATCTCGAATAGATTCTCCAGGGCCGCACGTGGAGGGTGAGATAAATGTCTGCTTAGACGCTTCAGCAACTCCCCTTGGCGTGTATAGAATAGTGACAGGGGCGGTCGATCGTTGGACAAGATGCTTCAAGTATTCACGAAATACTTGTTCGAGAATTTTCTCAATCCAATTAGCTGAACGTCCTATACTTTCCTTGTAAGGTTCAGGCCGATACCAGAAATGAAGACTAGGTTTGAAGAAGAGAATGGTTGATTCCATCATGAATCGGGGGAGAATGGCTAGAAGCGAACCGAGCCAGCTTGAGGCGAACCGAACCCTCCCTGAAATGCTTATTTTATAGGGGTCAATAGCCTCGCCTTCGGAGAACAAGTTTGTCAAAACCTTCGGCTGGTCTTTTGACGACGAGAGGGTGATGGAAATATCGAGACCTCGAAATCCTCGCATTCCAGGCCCAGGGGGATCCTTGGCAAGCATAGAGTACGATCCCGTTCGCGAGTTGAAAGGCGATACATGAAATCTCTTTCGCCATGTCGTTCTTATTTGAGCGCACAGAAGTCCTTGGTCGTTCTCGGTCATGTTATGAACATGCTTATCTTCTGCCTGTACTTCTCTCGTGACAAGATAGGGATGCCTTTCCCCGAAGACATTGTTCATCTCCAGGATGATTGCCTGAAAGACCTTGTCTGGTGAGTAAAGGAACCAAAAGGTTGCCGGATTAAAGCGCAAGCCTGGCAACTGTGCGGCAGTCACGAGATAGGCATACGGATACCGCGAGGCATCAATACCCTACGCCTGTCAGTTTGAGTTCGGCTGTGAGATGGCATAACAAACCTCAGACCCCAGATATGCATCCAATTTTCCACGCAAGCCATTGTCGGAGCGTATGCGTTGTAGATGATCAGCCGGACAAACCTTAAACAAGGCTGTCAATCCGGACAATTGTATGAACCAAGACCATGAACTGTGAACATTTGCAAGCATAATGTCATTGGCGTTATCCGAGACCTCTATCGGGATGCCAAGCAGGAGGTATGGATAAGAAAAAGAATGCTTCTGGGGATACAACCTATGGTGAGTTATTCGACCAGGAATCAACAGTCGATGAGCAGTACTAGCAGTAGAGTTGACCCTGCGATTGACAATCCACCTTGAGGCATAGTAACCAACTAGAAATATTCCGCATATTCCAAGGGCGGCATCCGTGGTATACCGTGAGTTGAGGAGGCTTACAAGCGAGGTCATTACAGAAGCATGCTTCCAAGCGACAAAGCCCAGGGTAAACAGAATATCGAGTCTCCTTGCAAGTACAAGATATACCCAAGCTGTAGCCAAGATGGTAAAAAGATCCCACCATCTCTTCAAGAGTACATCAACGAAGTCTGCCGCGAGGACGGCCGATAGAAGCGGCGAGCCATCGAACAAGCCGTCCATAGGCAAGTCAGGGGTCGATGATGCATCTCTGTTTGAACAGCCGCGAAGATGAAAATTCCTCAGCTTCGCAGGTGAGCGATACAAGAGAAAAGGCAAATGCGGACCGAAGTGCCAGAGCCTGAAGGTCTTTTGTTCAAATATCTACGAAGGAAGTCCGAGGTTAAAACCTGTCCATCAAGGTACTGTAGTTAGCATTATGGGATGGACATTTTGTCGACACATGAGCCAGTAAGCAGCTGAGCTGCAAGGACCGTCTGTCATTAGTCATCATATCAAGAACGATAGAATATACGAGTTATCCATAAGGTAGTTTAGTGTGAGATGAACAAGCACGAGAGCACGAGAGCACGTCAGTTTGTCAGGCACGTCAGGGTCCCGCTTCATCGTCATTGAGTCTTTTCGCTCAGTCAGGCCGGACCCATCTTGCATCGTCTTCGTGCTCCGGTCCCTGGCCCGTCTCAAAAAAGGGTTCCCGTCCAGAAAGTCTAGCACCTTCTATGGGCTGAGAAGAGGCGACACATGGGCCACCAGTGGCGGTGCGAATGAAAATTAGCACACAGACGTCTGGCCGCACTGTTATCTCCAGGGCTTGGTAACCAAATCCGAGGCAGCCTTACCACAGGAGTAACAAGGCGCATGCAAGAGGCCACCGATGCACGGTGCCAATTATAGTCCCCCGCCGATTGACTCAGTGACCCAAGGCCAGGCCTAAACCCCTCCGCCCATTCCATCACCATCCCCATAAATTCTTTGTCGCCCAGAACTTCAGCTTGATCTATATTCCATTCTTACATACCCAACAAACACATCTTCCACATCGTCACGCCGAGTCAACCCTCGCTCTAAAACACACGTCTTCCTCTGACAAAATTTCATATCTTCAAAATGGATGACTGGGATACCACCACCAAGATTGGTAGCCGCACCCGTGGCTCTGGCGCCGCCCAGCGAGAGACTGTTGTTCGAGGAAAGGCTGCTCTGAACGCTGCCCAACGAGCTGGCGGCCTCACTACCGAGAAGAAGTACTCTTCTGCCAATGCCGTACGTACAGCCATCGTCTCTCCGTAGCACACACTAACCATTTTGCAGGGTTCCGCACCAGAGGGTCAGCGTATGACAAAGGTCGATCGATCCGACGACATCATCAAGCCCAACACCATCGGCAAGACTGTTGGCGATGTTATCTCCAAGGCTCGTCAGCAAGTTGAGCCCAAGATGACACAGAAGGATCTTGCTACCCGATGCAACACTACCCAGGCTATCGTCGCCGACTTCGAGCGAGGCACTGCCGCCCCCGATCAGAAGGTGCTTGGCGCCATGGAGCGAGTGCTCAATGTCAAGCTGCGAGGTAGCGACATTGGCGCTCCCAAGTTCCCCAACAAGAAGAAATGAGCAATTGCGTCCAATGCTTAGACAAAAGATTTTGTAAGAGGGCTTCAGTGCCGAGTCGAGCGTTAGCGAATGATGATGACATCTTGGTTGGGAAATTCGGGAGTTTCGTGTGGGCCGTCATGATGCTTTATGACATGGGTACATGAGACTTGTTCTCTTTTCATCGCGGGGTTTAGGATTGACGGCATAGAAAGAATGGACGGGCCCTTTTATGATATGGATGCTCTAGTCTCTGAACTTTTGAGCGAGGCAACTTGCCTGCTCATCCGAATAAAATATCCCCTCGTGCATTATGAGCCTGTTTTAACAATACATCCTGTTACTGGGCACGACCAATAAAGCGGGATCCAACAATGCGGACTCGTGTAACAAGTAGTCATCCCTACTTGTGTCTCGTAACGACATTACAGATAATATATGTTTTGGAGACTCAATAGCTAGAGAACACTAGATGTTCATTCGCCTCGTGGCTCCGTCCTTTAGTCAAGGGACCAAAGGAAGGTCTATTGGCAAAAGTGGTCTTCAGACTCAAGCCAATCTTACAATAATAGCTCACCTCATATTCAAGAAACAACCCTCATTCAGAAGGTTAAGAACTACAAGTCCAAAGTGGCTGCATATACCCTTGCCAGCGTCAAATATAATTCTTTACTTCTTTGCAGTAATATGCCCTGATGTATTTTGATAATCCTCGCTTTCCCGTTGTTGCTTTTCTGTGACTTGAACGTGCTGTCGGTTAACATTGGTAAAATACATTCAAGATCTCAATAATCATTGCCAAGGGGGTCCAATCCTCCATGAGTAATGCGCCGGCCATTAATTTCAGCAATTGATACGCCTAGTCTAAATCATGCCGACACCTTGGGGCTATACTTCGTAGCAGCCTTGTCAAAAAGGGCGCTCTTCTCCTCCAAGTCGGCCAAGAATTGATGGTTAGGCTTGATGCCCCTCAATTTCCTAGCAGTACATGTCAGTATAATTCTTGTTTCAAGATTGGAATCAGACAACGGGACTGACTGTGCGAATTCATCGGACTGGTTGCCGGAAATAACATTGAGAACCAGCAGGTTGGCAATCGCGTCGGCGTTATTAGCGTCCTTCTCCAGGGCCTGTTCGAGAGCAGCTTGGGCTTCCTCTGTTCGGCCGAGGTGCAGTTCGCAAACAGCTTGCGAGACAAGACTTCGAACTGACGAGGTCGAGGGAGCTTGGGCGAGCTCCTCAAAGACGTAGAACGCCTGCTGATACTTCTCACCACCCTGTATCTTCTCAGTGAATGTACTTCCCCAAACATGTAGAACACTTACGACTCTTAATCCAACCCAAGACTCGGCCAAGTTGACCAAGAGACTATCTTGCGCCCATCGCCTTGCGGCGGATACTTCCTTGAGAGCGAGGTCGGTTCGGTTTTGTTGCAGATGAATCTGGACGATAAGAGAGACAGCATCGACTGAACAATAGCGGTCAGCGGTATTCTAGGCATCCTCCAACCCCTGGACGATCTTACGGCTTCCCTGGTGTTGAGTGAGAAGAGCAAGAGCCTCTTCAGATTTTCCAGCAGCTTGGAGAACCGTTCCTCCGATAACCTGGACCGTTGTGTTGTCGGCAGCTGAAGAGGCCAGCTTCTCGATCGTCTCCACCGCAGAATCGGCCTTGCCCAAATTGAACTCAGCAAGAGCACCCAGAGCCTGGAGCTCAGGCTGAGAATCGCCCTTCACATCATCGAGAACATCTTCTGCCTGTCCAAGAGCCAATCGAGCTCGGAGGACAAGAATGCGCGCGGGCAGAGCGTTGTCAGGGGAGAAGGAAGAGGTATCAAAGTCAATGACCTCCTGATACTGGCCCTGGTGGAAGTGGTTGTGAATGTTGATTAATTCGCCTTCAGTCGAGTAGGGGTCCATTGTGGTTAACGCTTTGGAAACGTCTTTTGTATGCGGATAACTGTTGTCCCTGAAAACGTCCCTTGAGAACACCTTGGATGCGCTCAAGATCCCGATGGAATGGTGGGGCCGGTCGTAGTCTGTCCTTTCCAGTGTGGGGTGAGATCCACGGTACGTATCTTTATCGTCACCTCACCGAGATGAGGCGCCACTCATGATTGCCCTAGATCTCAGGCGCCTAAGTGTGGCTGATGCAAGCGAGTGCCACACCGCCCGATGGGGCTAGGTAGGGTCGGCTGCCCACAAAGTGAGAAATCACACCAAAACCTCAATTTAGCCAGTCTTTGGAACTTGCATCACCAAACACACCCAAAGAACGGCACCGTACATCGTCGTCAAAATGGTACGTCGCTACAGCCCAAGACCTCACTATCAGCATCAACAATAGCACCATCGTATTGTTGGGGTTGGAATGCCGTTATCTCAAGCTATTCGAATATGCGCGCACCATGACAGTTACTGGGAGAAAGTGGGATGAATTTTCGGGGTAACATGAAGGGGCACGAACTCGAAACGACCACCTCTAACCTCGAACCGACGATACTTCTTGAAGGTGTCACTTTTTCCGCCCTTCAAGCCCTTTCCGACGATTCAATCTTTCTCTCAAACTGTCTTGGGGGCGTGCGACTCGATATGCTGAGATCTGGATAGAGGTCTTGATCCTCGAACAATCACCAGATGGCTAACATTCTGGCTCCTACAGGTCAACATTCCCAAGACCCGCAACACCTACTGCAAGGGCAAGGAGTGCCGCAAGCACACCCAGCACAAGGTCACCCAGTACAAGGCTGGCAAGGCCTCCCTATTCGCCCAGGGTAAGCGCCGATACGACCGCAAGCAGTCCGGTTATGGTGGTCAGACCAAGCCTGTCTTCCACAAGAAGGCTAAGACTACCAAGAAGGTTGTTCTGCGATTGGAGTGTGTCAAGTGCAAGACCAAGCTCCAGCTGGCGCTGAAGCGATGCAAGCACTTCGAGCTTGGGTACGTGACCTCTTGGCTCCATGGACTCTGCAATATACTGACATGGAAAACAGTGGTGACAAGAAGACGAAGGGTGCTGCTCTGGTTTTCTAAGTGCTTTGTGTTTGGGGTCTCAGGGTCACCATTTCTATGCTTACCTCGGCGGCAATTGGGCATCATGGATGGACACAGGCGAAAGGAGGTACACGCTCTCGATTTGAGGCATGTTTCATAGGGAACGAATGAAAAAAAAACTCTCTGTGTTGCACCAACACGAATTTTCTGAAGCAAAGCACAATACAGTGCATTCATGGTGATGAACCATTTTCAACAGTTGAGCCATTACCCCTCAACGTCAAGTAGGATAGGGCCCATGAGTCTTGGTCATGGTTGAGAAAGCTTCCAAAAAGCAACGATGTATCTGTCTATAGATATAAAGCTCTGATACTATTCTAAAATCCTTCTCCCAGCATTATAGTCTTGCCGCCTCCATACCAGAGTGTGCCATTTCGTGCATCCAGTCCTCTCTCATGGCCGACTAGCCACTCGCCAGCATTATACTCGGAGTCAGGATTGTCCCAGACCTCCTTCTCTAGCCATGCATTGACCTCATCAATGGCCTTAACCCAGGCTGCCCTCTTTTCTGGCGTGTCATGGTCATCGTGATTCAGATAGCGTCCAAGCGTGATATGCGCGCTGGGAACTTGATAT